CTATAAAAATTTGAAATAGCTGATCTCATAGCCAATAAAAACGCACCTGTAAGATCCAAATCATAGAGTTCCAATATCATTTATAAATTCACATACCCTTTAATGAACTGTGTTCCTGATCAAACCAAATTCATGAATAATTATATTGGACATACCACTACATGCCTATCAAGAAGACTCATGTTACATCTCTCTGACCATAGCTTAACTAGGACACATTTAAACACACATGGAAACCTACTAAAGTCCATCTGCAACATACTCATAGAAAATATAAATAGCCTCATCCACATGTAAGAATAAACCAAAAATAATGGAAGCACTAATAAAAAAAAAAAAGAAAAAACCAACATCCAATGGCATTAACTATAAGGATGGTCATAATGTGTTGTGTTTGGAAAATAATAATAAAAAAACAAAAATTCTCATCACTCCAGATACATAAAGAAAAATTTACATTCAGTTAAATAAAAAAAAAAATTCTTGATAATGGCTAATAGAATAGCCAAAATTGTTCAGATATATAGAAACATTTGAACAGTTTTTACACACTTTGTCCTGAAAAGTAATCACTTATATGAATATAAGAAAAATTAAAATAAGTTAATAAAAAGGTTAATCATAGTACCTTGTCAATCATTTTTAATGAAATTGAATTAAGGTATCAAGCTCTGTTTCATCATTAAGTGAATAATTCAATTTAATTTTAATAATTATATTGAGGGTTTCAGCTTGCGTTTTTGAAACATGAGAACTCTTATGTAGCGAAGGAATCATTTTTTTTTTTTAAAATAATTATAATTTAAGCTCTACTTCTGTATGGAGCACTGTTTTTTAAAAATAAAAACAAAAATACTAAAGAACTCCGGATTATTTACCTAACATGTTTCTTTTTTTATTTTTCTACATACCTCCACATATATATATATATATATATATATATATATATATATATATATATATATATATATATATATATATATATGTGTGTGTGTGTGTGTGTGTGTGTGTGTGTGTATATTTTAAATGTGTACAGTGAATGTCTTATATCTATCTACATGAATTACTAAATTAATAGATTGTCTGATATATAAAATAAACTTTAATACATACATGCACACTCTCTGTCCAATTTCTACAATAAATTCACAAGCTTATTTCCTTTCTGATAATAGGCAGAGTGAAAACTCTTTATTGCAAAAGTTTGGAGATAATTTTGACAAAAATAATGTTTTTCTTTTTGGCATTCTTTTAAAAAGATGCAGATTAAATCAGTTTTCTGTTCTGAAAACCTGTAAATAATGAAAATATGAAATGAATTCTTCCCCACTTTTTCACTATTTATCTTTTTAACTTTTGAACTACTAATACGGTTCCTCTTGCAAAAGAATTTCTTAGTTGAATAATTCTTTTTATTCCTTTTTTGTGTGAAGCAAAATAAACTATAATAAAAAAAAAAACCAATATTTTATGTTTTAAGTTGAAGTAGTACTTAACCTATTAAGAGGCCGTAAATGAGAATATGGAATAAGAGGGTGTAAGTGAGACTGGAATATGGCGGCATGGGTTTAGTACAGGACTGCGGCTCAGATTGAGGAAGCAGAGAGCTGAGTTTGAATTCTAGTTGAGTTCATTACATTCACTGCTAATAACCTAGGGAAAGATATGAATCCATCGCTTCTCCCTGCCCAGCTATGGGTAAATAACAGTACAGACTGGATTCTGTAGTCTTGGATGACAACTGGTCTAGGAGAAGGAAAACTCTTAAATTCAAACCAGCCTGGAGAACATTGGGCAATCTTGCCCAAGCCACACCACTTCTACTGCAGCTGCAGTACATGTGGTATCCCTACGATCCTATGATGAGTTACAGGACTCATGATCATGAAGTGAGAATATCAGTTGTTATGGCAGAGGAATTGCTATTTAAATCCTAGTGAAAACTAAGATTTGACTGATAAATTTCATATCATACCCTAAATATTTTACAAATATATAATTGTTAAAGTTTTGTGTCAGGCTTGCATTCTAGTATTCAGTGAAGATAATCTAATTTAAAATCCTGTTATTAACCAGCTGATGCTAACTTTCAAGGTGTACTTATTTTTTTTTATTCAGTGATGTTCATCCTCTACAAGGTCTGGGAGCCATTCAAGGTAGAGGGTTACTGAGTAAGAGGTACATTTTATGCAGATATGTGAGGATGATAATGGTTAACTCTTGACTTGAACAGGCAAAGATTGTAGTGATTGGGGAAGCATCCTCTTGGGAGTCGCTTCCATAAAGCAGTGGTTTGTGGGAAGAAGCTGCTCGTCTGGAATTTACATCTTACCAATAGAATACAAAGGGAATGAGGGTGGTGCACTACAATGTGCACAGCATGGCAGGTCATAGCCATGAAGGTTAGAACTGGTGGAACTAAATCTGAACACTTTCCATGGAAATAGCGATATGGCAGCAAGAGGCTTGTGACATTTCATCTGTAAGAAAGAGGTTGTAGGGCGGAAAATAATTTGTCACCCACAAGGGTGTGGAGACACTTTTGGAGTCTGTCAAGACTGGAAAATGAAGACTGAGCAACTCTGATATACCAAGAGTAATTCATTTCAAGCCTGACCTGGCTCTTGTAAAGGCAGAGGATAGCAGGAGGAGACAGGTACTTACTGGAATGGTAGCAGGAACTGACCATTTTTCCAATATCTTTAGCAATGGATTGTATATATGAGTTCCACTTGAGGTCTGGGTTAAGTTCTCAATAGGCACTCAAAGACACAGAGCCTCCCTGAAGGAACATCTCTTCATTGTGATTGGTGATGATTCAGAAATTAAAAAAAAATACTATGTAAATTTCAGCCTAGAATATCTGCTTTTGCTATTATTTAAAAAAATATTTACAATATCTTATTTGGTGGTATGAGTTATTATAATGAAATGATTGCCTTTTTATTTTCTTTACAGAAAATGCTATCTGACTGCAAGCATAAACCATTTTGTAACCTAACAATGTGCCTTCTGAGATCTTTCTTGATACCAGTAAGAAAACATTGTGAAGAGAATTAATTACAATGAAGGTTAGGAAATATCTAACCACTTATTACAAAAGTGAAAAACTGAAGTTACAGTATTTGCAGGGGCCTCTTCATTGGACTTAGGTGAGTGCCTGCAAAAACTGTAGAAAATTAAAAATGCTAGAAGAGAAATAAATAATAAAAGAGAAATGGAAAGGAAGAAACTACTGCTTGCCAGAATCTGTCTTATGCATTTATATGTCTACCATTCATCCCTGTTTTGAATATTGCTGCCATATTTGATCTGGTGCTCCTGTTATATATTCAAATATTCTTAATAAAATGCAAAGAAGAATCTGCAATTTTATTGGTCATGACTGGGCATCTTGGCATCAGTCACTTTCCCACTGCCCTAATTTAGCTTCCCTTTGCCTTTTCTATAAATACTTTCATGATAATTGTTTAGATGAACATTCCACTGTAGTACCTAGACTTTATGAATTTAAATGCAGTACTAGATTGGCAGCAACATCTCATCTTTTTACAGTTGAAATAACTAGATGTAACCATAAGTTCTATGCTAACAGTTTCTTCTATCATATTCACTTATGGAACTCTTCCAGCTTCTTGCTTTTCAGTTTGATCTTCAAAAATTTAAATGCAATGTCAATCTGATGTAATGGAATAACCTGCGACCCCCATGAGTGACTACACTATAGGTAGTAACAATCTATAAGTATCCATAAGGCAATGAACTACAGACTATCTGGAATCTGTTGAGTATAGCTCAGACTTATGCAAGAACTACTGACCTTCCAATAGTAGTACTCACTACTGGATTGACTTGTAACAACCTTGTGCATAACTGTTAACTTTATTCTTATTGTATTGGTTTTTACAATAAACCTTTACTTATTCTATCCACCTTGTTTGTCAAGTATATATTCCTATTAGCATGGAAAATAACACAATCATTATCTTCTATTTAATCCTTATTCTTTTATTGTTCTTTCTCTTTAATAGTCTTTTCTTATTCTCTAACAATCAGTAACCTCTTGTATCTTAGTGGCTTTATTGTCTTGCTTGATGTAAAATGATTAAAAATAAAATGAAAAGGTGAAATCAGAATAGAGGAAAGGATAAGGAATGAAATGGAAGGCAATCAGTAGAGGGTTTGGTTTGGTTTGTTTGTTTTATTTAGTGCTGGAAATTAGATTTTTATTCAATAATATTTTAGGAAGTCTTAAGTTTTATAATTCATGAAGTATAGTTGAAAACTAGATGTATAGTTTTTCCGGTTTAAAGTTTGGTGTATAATTTAATTTTCCTCAAGTAGGTTAAATGGTTTTACATTTACATTTTTGAAAAGTTTCTTAAGACTCTTCACTTCATAAAGGCATTTCAGGATAGAAATAAATTCAGCACAGTCCGTCATAAAATGTTTTACTGGGTATGTCTCCTGGGATACTATGCATTTAGATGGATCCTCATCTTTTAGAAGGAATGAATGTATGATATTGGTATGACCAATTCTGATTCAATCAGTAGAAGGAGAGCAGAAAAAAGAAGAGAAGAAAAAGATGACTGAAGGAAAAAAGACAAAAAACACATAGCACAAACAAGAAATTCAATCAGGGGAGGCAAGTAATTGACAATGAACTTTTGATAATGAAGAATGAATGAAGACAGAGGAAAATAATTAATGAAAGATAAAGTGAAATAATAAACATACAAAGAAATAGAAAGAGATAAAAGATCAACAAGTTAACAATCTAAGAAAGAAAACTGACAAAAAAGAAAAGTGGAGAAGAAGAAGAATCAACATAAAAAGAAATAAAAGAGAAAAGAGAGAAATGATTAATTGAATTATCTTTTACAGTTTATCAATAACAACCACTGAAAAAAAGAGGGAATGAAAGGAATATTTAAGAAACTGAATGAAGGAGAAAAACAAAAAAAAAGATAACCTAAAGAAAATGTAAAAAAAGAAAGTTAAAAAATATGCAAAAAGCAAAAAGTTATTAATCTGAAGAAGACAGAGTGAGAAAGGAAAAAAATGAGAAATACTGAAGAAGTAAAAAGAAGGAGATCAAAAGAGGTGATTATGATAAAGTATAAAACAAATGAAGAGAGAGAAAAAGAGCAAGTAAGAGATAAAAAAATTAAAGAGCAGAAAACAGTAAAAAAAAAAACACTGAACAAAACATTGATAAAAGGAAGAAAATGATAAAAGAAAGAAAATGAGAGAATTAAAAAAAGAAAGGAAATGAGAGGGTAAAAAAAAGAAAGGAAATGAGAAGGTAAAAAAAGAAAGGAAATGAGAGTATATATAAAAAAAAAAAAGGAAATGAGAGGGTAAAAAAAAAAAAAAAAATGAGAGGGTTTTGAAAAGAAAGGAAATGAGAGGTAAAAAAAAAAGGAAATGAATTTATTTAAAAAAAAAAGGAAATGAGAGGGTAAAAAAAAGAAAGGAAATGAGAGGGTAAAAAAAGAAAGGAAATGAGAGGATAAAAAAAAGAAAGGAAATGAGAGGGTAAAAAAAAAGAAAGGAAATGAAAGGGTAAAAAAAAGAAAGGAAATGAGAGGGTAAAATCTTAGTGAATAAAGAGAGAAATCTATTTAAATTAGGTTGAGAGAAATTTAAAACACAGATCCATTTAAGTGTGTACACTTTGAGTGTGTACACTTTGAGTGTGTACCTGTCTTGTCAGTGTTTGAGACAAAGCCCTCCAAACAATACCCTGGATGGTTGCCAAACCATTTCAGACCATCTTGATTACATGCAGTGTTGATGTACTATCAAGAGCGCCCTCTTGAGGTGATATTGTCGCTTAACAATTATACACCATGGCTAGGCAGGAACAGACAATTTGATGGCAGGAACAAATCATAGAGAGGCAAAAGTAGATATCTATATAGACTGAGTGTCATGCATTATAAAAATGAGTAGACACACAGAGTCTGACTGCAGTGAGTCAAGTGGTAGTTAGGATTTTGCCCAAGGTTTATATGTTCATTCAAATGTTTGCTATTTTAAGCATCATCTAGCACATGACGAAGCAAGGAATATAGACTTTTTAAAATTTATGTTCCTTTGATTACTTTCCCTGAACTAATAAAATTATTTTTTTAACAGAAAAAAAATTAAATACCAAAGAAAACACAAATAAACATGTATATTCACAGTTTTATTATATGTATGTGTGTGTATATATATATATATATATATATATATATATATATATATATATACATTTTTTTTTAGTGCATGCACATATTTGAGCAGATGCTCCATTTATTTTATTAAACAGTATATTTATTTTTTGTCTACCATCCTGAGTATTCAAGAAATTTTAGTAAAGAAAAATATGCACAATGTATGAATATTTATTCCCCCTCCCCCACTGTGTGTGTATATATATATATATATATATATATATATATAAAGTGTGTGTGTATGTGTGTGTGTATATATATATATATATATATATATATATAACTGTCATAAGTCTTGGTAATTGAAGAGAGACTTGAAGTGAATCCAAGTCTCACTCAATTACTTGTCAAGTACAAACTCTAGAATCACTGACTAAGTGACTATTTATAGAAAGGAGGGAAGAACACTAACTCATGTGATATTTAAATAGTTTACAACATTCTTTCCTCCTAGAAAAAAGTCCTTATTTTCTAGTAGGGAATAATGCTTGAACACAATTTATTATGAGTATAGTAGCAATGTTTTAAAATTAATTTGTTTTGACTAACATTCAACAGCATTTTGCAATTTACGATCTCTGATTATCACCCTTGGACTGGAAATACTTGTTTACAAAATATTCTAACTACAACAATTAATTTTAAAATAATTATAACTGAGCAGATCCATGCACATTTGTAAAATCACTACCACAATGATTACAGTTACATTATGCTTGTCTTCACAATTCACCTTTGTGGAAGATCTCAGAGGACATCAAAAGTATTTGGGTTAACAAAAAATATGGTGGCTTTCTTGGTGAATTCCAACATTAAGAAGATAATTAGAAAACTATAAAAGATTATTAAAAAATGTCTGTATTATTTAATGAAACATTCTTGAATGAAGATATGCTGCCATAATGTGAGTGTTTGTGTGTGTGTATATATATATATATATATATATATATATATATATATATATATATATATATATTAGATTGAAAATTGAAAATATACATATATGCAAAATATATAAAAAAATACCCATACATGTATATTTTCAGAAAAAAATTTTCAAAATTTAGAATCCAGGTAGAACTATTTCCAATGGAATAAATTATGACCATGGAATATTAGTGTTTAAGCCTTTTTATTATATATATATATATATATATATATATATATATATATATATATATGGTGGACTCTTCTATTGTACTTGATATATGAGGGTCAAGCAGCTCAGTTCCAAGGAGCCGACAGCCAGACACCAGCACATATGATTTGATTATAGTGGTGAAGGCTTTGTCCAGAAACAACTAAACTTTTGAAGAGCAGAATACAGAGAGCTGGTGCACTACATGCCACAAGGTCCCCAAACAACCCTCTGCAGGTTTTGAATTGTCCTTCTCCTAGATCAGTTGCCACCCAAGGCCATAGAACCCAGTCTGTCCTGCTTTTTACCCATAGCTGAAGGAGAAGAGGAGGATAAATACCTTTTCCCAAGAGTATTAGCACATAAGTGAATGTAATGAATTCGACTGGAATTCAAACTTGGCTCTCTGATTCATCAATCTGAGCTGCTATCCACTACACCACCAAAATATATATATATATATATATATATATATATATATATATATATATAAACCTAGTGAGCCAGAAAAACCTACCCAGGTTTCACCTAAGCAGATCATTAGGGAAAGCTGGCTTCCCTGACAATCCACTGAGGTGAAACCTGGGTAGGTTTGTCTGGCTCACTAGGTTTATCTAGGTTTGCTCTATGGCTGTATTGAGCTCTTTTAGTTAGTTGTTTACTCGTGTCGGGGTTTTTTCTTTGGGCTTTAAACCTGTATCTGTGCAATTTTTATCAACAGACTTTCACATTCCTGGCTCTTTCTTTTTTTAAAACTTTTTTTTCCTTCGAGATTGATTTGATTATTGGCAAATCAAAAATTTGAAGGTTTTTCAAAATGAGTATAGTTACCTATATATATATATATATATATATATATATGCAAACACAGACACACATACACACACCTTATATAAAGACCCTGATAAATGGTTGTAGTACTGACTGATTAAAATGAAGATCATGGCTATAGGGCTCAAGAAAAAATTTGGGGTTTAATATTGTTATTTTCTTAAAATTTCTCAGAAGTACAGCAACTCTTCTAAGCCATTAGATTAAAGCATTTGAGTATCAGGTTGTAACGGGATTAGACATGGGGATTTAATAGTCTAGGGATAGCAACACTGGAATTTCAATACTGTGATGTGATATGTGTGTGTATATATATATATATATATATATATATATATATATATATATATATATTTTTTCAAGTATTTTTTTTTAATTTAATTTTTAAACTTTGATGTCTGAAGTGTTAAAAATGTCATAAGTTTATGGATCTCTAAAGAGTCATACTATGTATTAGAAATTCCTTTCCAGCCTTTATTTTACACAAATGTCTGATGGTCTAAATTATATGTGTTTGCATAAATATGCATTCATGTGTGTGTGTATGCTTAATCAATTTTGTGTAAATCAGTTTTCAAGCAATGCAAATTGTTTATAGCTTTTCATTCCGTCATTTTGTAAATGTAAAAATAGACTGATTGCAATCAGCATTTAGTAAACAAATATCTTCTAGCTTTTAAACTATTCACAGACACTCAAAAATCTAATGTTAAAAAAAAACATTTTAGCAGACAACATTCATTGTAAGTACTATTTCTAATGAAATTCTGTATAGTTCAAAGCAAATTTTTAGTGATAATTCTATTTCTTATATGAGAATCTTTTTGAAAGTAATGTTTCCTATTTTATTATGTTAGTTCATAATATCAAGCAGATGTTGGTGGTATGGTAGTAGAGGATAAACCTTCCAACTAATGACTCATAATTTTCTGATGCACTGTTACTGAGCAGCATTCAGGCAAAATGGTGTCTGACATGAAAATGCATGTTTCATTTATTTCATACTAATTATCATTATTTACTTACATGCAGGCTATTGTCCTCATTTTGTTGTTGCTATCATGTTGTTTCAGCCATTATAATAACAATAAAGATGAGGAAAATAATCTTCATATAAATAATGTTTCATTGAATTTCTACATGCAGAAAAAAAACACCCATTGATATTTACTTGTGCTGACTGTTTATGAAGACTAAACAATACATTTCAACAGTGGCAACAGCAATATTACGTTTTTTGTAATACAGAGTTTTATGAGTACATGATTGATTGATTGATTTGCTTTTTATGGGTATCAACCCTCTGCAGGTTACTTGAAGCCAGAAAATATTTTTAGATTGTAAAATTCTTTTTGAGATAATGATTTTACTGATACAATTCCTACTATTTAACCCATAACTGGGAGGAGAAGAGGTGGATTCATACCTTTCCCAAGGGTATTTGCACATAAGCAAATATAATGAACCTGACTGGAATTGGAACATGGTTCTCGGATTTCCAATTAGTAATCCATTACACCTCCCGAATATCCAAGCTTGCAGCACCTGTTATTCCCAAGCGGTCACCCATCTAGGTACTGACCAGTCTCAATATTGCTTAACTGTTGATTTTATGAGTACAGCATGCAGGCCCCTGTTCATCTCTGGCCAGTTGTAATGTTTTGTAGTAGAAGTCTTGCTCTGTCCAAAATTGTTATTATGTTTCCTTTGTATCTGTTTTAGATTCTGCATAAATAAATATATGAAAAATAAGAAATGCACACGAACTTGTCTAGTTTGAATTCACAAAATCACATTTTCATCTGATATCTTCATTGTTTATATAGTATAGAAAGTTCAAGTACTAAATTGTTTTATTTTTACTACCAGTTAGATTTAGTAATCTTTATAAGTACAGAGAGAAAATTAATTTATTTGTGATGGGATATAAAAAAATATAATTAGTTCTTTTATTGTATAATTATAAATTTTTTATTTGTTATTTTCCCCTGTTCATTAGTTTATATCATATGCCATGATCTATTATTATTTATTTAGTTTTTAATTTATTTAAACCAATTAATAATTCAATTAATCTACTTTACTTTTTCCATTAATTTTTATCAGATTCTATTCAATAACACAGCTTTATTTTCATTCATGTGTATTTATTTATTCCAAATTTTTTTTTTTTTAGCTATTCATTTTTTCATGTTTATTTTATTTGTTTCTGGTTTATTATTCTTGTTTCTGATTTCCTTTGATTTGATTTATATTTAATCCATTTTCAACAATTTTATTTTCCTTTTTCTCTCTTCCCCCTCTCCAACTTCCTTTTAATTTCTCTTGTCTGTCTTCATTCTTTGTTTTCTTTCATTTAATCTGTGTTTATTATGCAACCATCCCATTCTTGCTAATCTAAATGTATGTCATCTTTTGAAGGAGGAGGAGGAGAAGAAGAAGAAGAAGAAACAAAAATTCCAACATTTCATGAATATTCATCTGGTTCAAAATTATGCAAGGCAAATAAATAATGGATCAATCAAGATGGAATATTCAAAGATGAAGGAAGGAGTGTTTGTTTTTCTTCAGTTTTCTACAGAATCAGAGATTAACAGAAATGAATTTATACAAAAAGAAAATATTCTCACTAGGATACAAAACTGCTAATAAATCCTGAAAAATTCTTGAGAATTAGCAGGTGAAATTTTTTTGAATGATTTTTGA